CGCCAAAGCACCACTTGCATCCGCTAGCTAGCATGGCAACATAACAAAGACTAGTCAGACCCTGATGAGGTATAAAGTAATCGACCCTGCAAAGGCGGAAAGGCAGCCAAAGACCAAACCTAAGTCTGTGGTCAGTCGATCGAATTCCCTTATCATGTTTAATGTGCCAGTGTGAAACAGAAGAGCTGCTTGAACAAAGGGCTCTGTTTGATCAGCAACAATGATCTAATTTGTACAGTAAATTAGGGCTGGGCATCAATTCAGCAAAATTGTGCAGACTGTGTACAGAGGTGTTCAGACACTTCAAGGCAAGCCACATCCACCAAGGGTGACACGGGACTCTGCCGAAGAGGCTGTAAGAATACTGTTACTGGCTCAAATATTAGCTATCGACAGTGGTTCCAACATAAGAATAAGGTATGATAGGCCATAGGCCAACAGCCAAATGGTGAGGGAGTCATCGGAACTGATGCCCTCTACTTCCATATTCATATATAGTGTTCCGGAGCTGGGAACTGGCACTGCTTGTGAAAACACATGCATGACGTACAGCAATGAAGATGGCTATCATCTCAGATGGACCTTGGTGCCTCTGGAGCAATTTCGATTTTCCGGCTACTTCGTCCCTCACATTGATCCTCTCCCCAAGGCTGCTAAGTGTCAAATTCAGCTCCCGGGAACAGTTGGCTCTAGTACTTCGATGGAAGTACGAGACCAAAGGTAAAATGGGAGGACACATCGGATGCTGCGAAAGCAGACCTCGAACCATAAGGAGGCAGCAAACTGGGGTCTTAATACGTCCCCAACCCCCAGTGACACTACAGCGATGCGGTACTGAGAATGACAGTCACTATCACCTAAGTGTCCTATCTGAACCCAAGGGAAAAAACGACAACAGGCCGGTTCTATCGGAATCGGCCAACTAGTCCCAATATTGAATCTTCTACCAGAAGACAACGTAACTTCAACTACCTCACAATACGCTGAGATGGTGAGACTCACTATTAGCTGTCTGTATAGTAATGTGAGAGGGCTGAAAGGAAACGTTTGTGAAATCAGAAACCTCCAGTCAAGCCTATGCCTTGAAATAATAATCCTGACTGAAATCTGGCTACCCGCCATTATCGCCGACAACGAAATCAGTATAAGTGATATGGTTCTGGCCAGGAGAGACAGGGATAACAAGGAAGGGGGAGTTGGCGTATACTTTGAGAAGCAACTTAAATGCGTACGTGCAACGGACCCACCACCTACTGAGCTCCCAGACTCCATATGGTATTATTCCACCGTAGGCCACACGAAGCATTTAGATGGTGGCAATGTTAGTGGATATAGGGTCCCGTTGGAAAAGAGTTAGCTAGTGGTGGTCCAACCAAAACATGCCACCAGTCAATGAAATCTACAGCAGTTAGTTTACACTAGCCAACCACGTAGGAAGGTGTATACTTCTTGGCTGGTTGGGGTCCTCGGGACGGTTGAAACCAATGGCTGGAAACTATTGGTGATGTGTCACAGAATTGTTCTCAATGGCCATCGCAGATGCATCCACTCCCTGTGACTTATGATTTCCAATCAAACTATATTGTTCTTCATTATTACTATTCCTTTGTGTCACACCTGTATTCATTGTCTCTATTATGCATTTATTCTACTTTCTTCTCTTGCTTTGCGTGCTACATGGAGTGTGGCGAATTGAACTGCCGCACATATGTACAAAGTTCTATGTCGAAAACAGACAGCACAGACAAACCAATTGTACAAATTTAACAAATTAACAAATTTTGATGTACACACAAATACAAAATAGCCATTTCTGAATAGATATATCTCTGAATGGTTAACAAATGGAGTGGGATAATCTCTTTCAAAGCTTAGTTCATTCATGGCTATTGTGCATTTGAATTGTCGAAGCAACAAACCACGTACTTACTATCAGACATATATATTAATCAAACTGTTGGTTTTTGAATTTACCTTGATTACATGTTACTAGAGAAATTTGTCCTAATGGTTATTGGTTGTATTGAAAAGTTACTCCAAATAGAATGAAATAAATATGCTCGAATTGTGCATAGTTCTGGTCCTCGATATATAAACATACACACTGAGAACCAATGATTTGAGACTCTTGTTGATATTGGATGGAGGATTTCATCATGAGCTGACAATAGTCAGACAACCACTGAAAAACCACCTGGGAATACTGGACAGCTGTTTCGTCCTGGTTTGGGACTCTTCATCTGTACTGTTCTAGTGGGAAGCCGTGACCAGTAGGGTACAGCAGGTTGAAGATGAGGCAGTAAGTCATCGAAGAAGACATCACGAGATGGTTGCGCTATGTTGTGAATTAGCAGAAGTTAGAATTCATGGACTACTGGCTGGCCATTGGATCGGGTCCCAGTGGCTTAATGGTCTGCGAGCACGTCTTGTTTATATGGCTGGAAATCTTTTTCATTGACGCGGATATGTATTATTTACTCTCTCTCTCTCTCCTTCTGTGTAATTTCCCAGTTTATTCGTTAAATCATCATTTTGTTCCATGTTACTATTCATCCTCCTGTACATTTTTTTCTTCGTTATAATTTCTGGCTTAGCGAGGTAAAGGAGTGCGTCAGCCGGGGATCGAACTCCGGACCATGTGCATGGTCGTCGAGCGTCCTAACCGCTGTACCACCGACGCTTTGTTCCGAAAACAGTATTTATAATAAAGAAAGGAATTTGCAGCATTTGTCACAATACTGCATATGATTTACTCATATTATAAATCAAATTAGAACAGAATTAACCAGAGGAGTTTGTTCACATTTACGATATAAAGTCAAAAATATTTGAAGTAGGCATTTAGAATATTAAATATAATAATAATAACAGTGAATATGTTTCAAACAGTATTGTTGATTCAGTTTGGAAATTTTAGCATGTTATTATAGAGTATTGAATCTAATGTTCTGTTGATATAGCAGTATAGTGGGGGGAAATACAAAATTAACAGTTATAACAGAGCTTAAATAATGTTCACACTTATGAAAAAATAAACAAATAAAAACAAAAAATTGAGAGGACTATAAATATAAGAAGTACAATAAGAATAAAGGTTGATGTTACAAGGGTGAAAGAAATGGTTTATTTACTAGTGCAAAGAAGGTTAGTTAGTTCATGCCTGACACTATTTTCATCACATAAAGTACGTACCACCAAATATGGTATAGTGGAATTTTTATACTTAGACGTACGTGCATAAAGTCTTCTGAAAAGACTTCTTGTCTTAACTGAAGAGGAGACACAAAGTTGGAGCTGCGGGTAAAGTGGATGCTCACAGTTTGACAAAATTCCTTTAGAAGATTTGTTGCATGACATCAAGTTCCTATCAATGACAATGTCAAACACCGAAAATTCCAGGGACTTCTTAGGAACCTGGTACTCAAGTAAATCAGCCACCGATTAGCAAGCACGGCATTATAGGCCAAATTTACCAGCTAATAAAAAGTAAATCACACAACAAGAAAGTTTGAATTCCAAGTCAATAAAAATATGATCAATAGAGGTGTAAATTAACAACCATTCACGACAGTGGTCATCAGGAGCAACAGTTACATCATTCATGGATAAGTTGAATGAGTCTATTTCACATACTGAAACCTGCACTGAAGATTTTGTCTAGAAGAACGACGAAAGTTTCGCAATTAAATCAACCAATTCAATAGGGACCTGGTTATCAAGTAAAATGTTCTGAGGTTTCTTCTACCTCCGGCCTGTTCTGCTTCAGTTGTCAGTGTCTTTTGTCTTTCCTGGTACTCTTTTTCATTTCTTTATTCAGTGTAGTGTACATTGAAGTCAGCTTCTCCATCTGTTATCCATCTTTGCATTGAATCCTTTTCTGTTTCACCATTCTCCTTTCTCATATTAGCTTCCAGGTATCCGTTGAGAGCCATTATTAGGCTGTACAATCGTATATGTATGGCTTTTTAAAAAATTATGTCCTGTGAAGGGAAATCTAAACAAACGTGTGAATACATAAAATGATAATATCAAATGCAATTAAAAGGTTTGTGATTATAATCATAGTTAAACATCAAGTGTCAAACGGTAAAATAATTAATATCGTATATAAAATAGTTTATAGAATATATTGATGTTGGAAAAGAGTATATAATTGTAGTGCAACACAAATGTCTGGCTTATATTCATGAATTGCTGAGTCCTAACACTGTTCTTTAAAACCATTCTAGAACATGTTCCTAGGGTCCATCTGTTGTAAGAGTTGTCTGACTACAGCGAATTCACGTTGCTCCACAGAAGCAGGTGCACTGATAGATGCACATATCGAATAAACAAATTAATTTGGAATTACTTTCAAGTTTGTGTGGAGATTAACAGCACTCAGCATGAAAAATGAAAATAAGATCCTGATTTTCAGCTGCAATGTGAAGTCAGTGCTACTTACTATACGGATCACAGACTTGGCACCGCGCCGCGTCACGAAGGGCACTTCGAACAAAGACAAACCTTCATCAACATCCATCTTCTATCATTACTCAAGATCAAGTGGCCAGAAAAGACCAGCAACAGGGATCTCTGGAAAAGAACCAAACTTGCAACAAATATACAGGGAGAATTGGAGGTGGATTGGCCATACTCTGTGAAAACAAACCATTAAATGACATCACACGTCGGGCCGTCGCTCGAGTGAAACCCGAACGGGAAGCGACGAGTTAGTTTGTCGTCAGTGCGAGGGCGATTTGGAGGAGGAGATGAAAGCATATGGGCAGACGTGGAGCCAGGTGGAAATGTTGGCGGAGAACCGAACGCAATAGAGACGTGCGGCTGAAACCCTATGTTCCTCTAGGAACTAAAGGAGGCAATATTAATAATAATAATAATATACATATAACCACTCTGCCCAAATTTTACGCGTATATTTATTCGACAGTAATAAATTTCGCATTAATAAATATTAAATAGGTATATCATTGAGGTATATGTATATATCTTTCTTCCAGGCTGATGAATACTGGCGTAGATTACGCAATCTACAATGGAAACATATACAACTTCGTGAGAAAGAAATTCTTGGCAGTGGATTATACAAACTTCGTCGATTTACAGATGGATTTCATGAATTGGCACTATCTCAACAAAGTTGGTTTCAATGGTTATATCAGCATAAGGTGTCATCAGAGGAATATAAACGGATATTTGGAATACCTGGACGATTACCTCAAAGTGAACAACAGCACTGTCGTGATCATCACGAACAACAACAACAATCGAAATCGTAGTTGTTTTTTGTCAACTAGATGAGCTGTTCGTGTATCTTCTTTTTGTGTAGATATATGTACATACTTGATGTCTCTCTGTTATTGTCTTTCTTGATATGAATGCTTTTCATTTCTTCTACAGTTTTTGGGCCTTGATAGTTCAGTGTTAGAATGCTCGCTAAACGACACAAGTAGTCTGGCTGTTCGATTCTCAGTCGATACACTGCTAAACCTTGCTTAGTTAGTTAGTCCACTAGCCGATTGTATGCCATCTGAGAAAAGTGTAGATGGTTGGTTGAACGTGAGCATTGCTGGAAAAGAAAAAATTCCCTCCCCTCCCTTCGCATGCTGAGAATTCATAACCGAAGATTTGAAGAAGCCGCGTATTATTCCACTCGGTGGAACACAAAATGAAAGAAAAAGGACACTTTTATAAAATTACATACACGGTACTCATTGGATTGGATTTGTATCTCTCTCTCTCTCTTTCCAGTCTTTTTTTTTTGTAAATTTGAGTGAATTTTCTCTTATTTAACAAAAGTACTGACACATTCTGTGAAAGTTGTACAGTATTAACTGTTTTCTAATTTCTCTTTTTTCTATGGGAATTTCAATATATCAAAATTAGTTTATAATTTCAATGATTTGTTTTCCTTCAACTATGATGTGGTTTAGCGATAGGACGCTAACGTAGGCCAACCACGTATGTTGTCTGCGGTTCGACCGCCGAGTGATGTACTTTTAAACCTCACTAAACTGGTGGTGAGTCTAATAAAAAAAATGGAAGGTTTGGCATCAGGTTGGCTAACAACCCAGTTCCAGTGACTTAATGGTATGCGAGCTGGCTCGCCTTGTAACCGGAAGGTCCCGGTTTCGAATCCCGGTGGGTACGTACTGATGAAGAGTCCCAAACTAGGACGAAACAGCTGTCCGGTACTCCCAGGTTTTCCAATGGTTCTCTAACTAATGTCAGCTCATGATGAAATCCTGTAAACCAATCAAATCCCTACAAACCAACACGTGAATGAAAATGAAATTATTGGTACGAAAACTTCAAAGCACTAGCTCAAATTTAAGGGGATAAAAACTGATGTGAAGAAAAACAAAGTCATGTTCACATTCTGTGTGCTATTAATATTCACTTAGGTTTTCTGGTGGAACCGAAATAATACTTCAGCGGTACATCGCTATTTCTCTCTTTGTCCTTTGCAAACTTTCTTAACAGGCTCTAGGATTGCCCACACGGTCTCCTCCATGTCATGCTTTAGTCTACACCCAGTTTATCGATTTTCATTTGTTTGAATTTCAGTCGACGATCTTCTTAGCGTATGAACTATTTATCGTCATTTCCGTTTGCCTATTAATTAGGTAGCAGGTTCTTGGTTCGATTATCGCCAGAACTCCTTGTTGATTATCCTTTCTGGTCGGTCATCTGATCTTCCCTATGGAGGCGTCTAAGGCAGCTGTCGTTAAAACTATGCATGATGCACGATGAAACAGTTGTCTGGCAGTACTCCCTGTCGCTGGTTTCCAATAGTTTTCTAACTAATGTCACCTCATGATGAATTCCTGTAACCAATCAATCAAATTCCGAAAAACCAATATTTGAATATCTCCTATCGTCAAATTGACGTTCCGGTTATAAACCCCTCCGTTGTAACCAATTATACCAGAAATTTTTATGATTGATGTCAGGTAGACATGAATGAAGTCCGCATTCTATTATAAGACAGGCTATATTGCTAAGGTACTATTTTTCCTTGAACCGGGTATTCGACCTAATGTGAACAATAAAATCTTATGATGCATTTATAAAATAGAGACTTGGAGCAGATTTCATCTTGGCTTTAAAAGCATCTCTCCCGTATGAGCTACAAGAAAGGATTAGTTAGAAGATTATTCAGTCGTGTGAGAAGACTCTTTTCCAACAGAAAAACTGTAATGATCATTTGGCTAGTGGAAAAAAAAGTAGGGACTGGACACTATCGTGAAAAGAACAAGTTGGTTTGTGTGTGTTCGAACCGAATCAGACATATATCGCCGGCGAAGTCCGGATCCTCCAAGTATTTTGTGTGTGTCCGTTTTATGCCTGTCTCCTAGTCGCTCGGCCCACTGTCTGTCGCATTATCCAATCTACCGCCCACAACCAGGAATATCATTGGAGATAGTAGCGGGCAGCCAGCTTGTCTTACTCTCGTCTTCACTTCCTCGAAGGATTCCGTGAGTTTCCCATTGTGGATTACTTGGCAAGCAGCACGGTCGTACAACTGATGGATGAGATGTATAATTGTTGGCGGCACTCCCTGGTAGTAGCGAAGTAGTTGCCAAATCACCTCCCGACCGACGCTATCGAAGGCTTTTATAAATTCGTTGAAGTTTAGAGAGAGAGCTGACTGCCTTTCCAAGCTTTTTTCAATGATGATCCGTAGTGCTCCGATTTGATCAGCCATACTAAGATGCATTCTAAATTCCTTTGCCTAAGTAATCTTTACTTTTTTTAATTTGAAAAAGAATGGGGATTTTTAAATTTACTCAGATATACTACTCATTGGACCGCATTACCAGTTAAATGAGTCTTTCATTTGCGCTTTGTCACCAGTACTTACTAGTTACTCAGAGTACCTGACCGAAAGCTGCTACCTTGACGTGGTGGTCGGGCTTGAACACCGCAATGACCTAATCAAGCTATACTGGCTGAGACTTATGTCTCTTGAGGTTCTACCATGCCAGGCAGGTTGTTTGGATAGCGGTTAAACAAAAAGCAGCTACCTCATCCAATACCATGACCAACACAAAATTTCATGCCGGATTGGCCGTGGCCCGGATTAACAACGACCGCGCTTCCTGCTGCCGTGTCACAGGGCGTGAGTGATAAGTATGCTACTGAGGCACACCAAACAAAACAGAACAAACAAAAACAGGCCGCGTGTGACCGGCCTCAAGCAGTTGTCCCCTGGGCTCTGCAGTCACGCAACCAACTTCCACGGTGTGGGCAGCCGGGAAGTAACAAACGCCCTCACAATCCGAAATGCACACAAAACCTCTCTAATCCTCACTTATCTTTGTCTTCATCTCCATTGCCTTGTCTTCCTCCCACTGATACAACTCCTCTACTTGATGGCTCCACAAACACGCATACAAGACCCAAGTGCGGTTATTCACCTAACCCCACCTGGCCAACAAGATGAATCTTCAAAATTCACCTTGAGGGTGTCAGGAGATGCCACAGCTAGTTCACGAGGATTAGCTGGCGTAGGGATAGCTCTGAGTACTAGGGCAGAAAAGACATTACTTGACTGGATCCCGGTAGATAGCCGAATGTGTGCTGTCCGTCTGAACGGATCAGTAAGAAGGAGAAAGGACTGCACTACTCGCCGATGCCTTTTCGTAATCTCCGCCTACGCCCCCACTGACTGCAGTTCGGATGAAACGAAGGATGAGTTCTACCAAAAGCTGTCTAGTTTGGTGCGAAAGGCTAAACGCTCAGATATAGTCGTTCTAGCTGGTGACTTTAATGCTCAAGTAGGGAAATTGTGTCAATCTGAGAAGGATGTCGGTGGCACCTATGGAGTTCCGTGCCAGCGAACCGACAACGGTGACCGTCTCCTACAGTTCTGTTCAGATAATCATTTGTTTCTTGTAAGCACTAACTTTAAACACAAGGAGAGACACTGTTTAACCTGGCGACCCCCATCATCAAACCAACGCTGGACACAAATAGACCACATAGCAATAAGCTATCGTTGGCGTGGGTCGGTAGGAGATTGTCGCTCCTTCTGGAACACGTGTGTAGATACCGATCATGCACTGGTCCGCGCTCGTGTGTGCTTACGACTGAACGGACGTAGGAAACAGCTGGCGGTAAAACCATCACGTCCCCAGCTCGATCAGGAAACTAAATCCCTATTTGAGGAAGAACTAGCTAAACACATATCTGTGTTCGACAGCTGTGCTCACCCTGGAGAAGCCTGGAAGAATATTCAGTCAGCTATAGATACAGCTGTAAAAGCTGTGAATAAGAAATCCAAAGGTGAGTAAAAACCACTGGATTTCGACTGCCTCATCCGAACTGATAGATGCTAGAAGACTTATTCCGGCGAGCTCCGAATTCAATGAGGAGCGAAAGCTGCACAAAAGGAAACTTACTAAAAGTCTCCGCAAGGACCGTGAACAGTGGTGGGTGACAAAGGCAAAAGAGATGGAAAAAGCATCGGCGATAGGCAACACTAGGCAACTCTTTAGACTCATCAGGAAACGGGTGGGAGAAGGCAATTCATAAGTGAGACTATTTCTGAGAAAAATGGCTCCTTAATTAGCTCTCAGGATAGACGCCTTGAACGCTGGAAAGAACACTTTGAGGAACAATTTAACTTGCCTACAGCCACACTGAACCTCCCCGCCATCCACCACGTACCCGAATGGGATATAGACACTGGTCCGCCGTCTGTAGGTGAGGTTACAAAAGCTATCAGTAATTTGAAACGAGGCAAGGCGGCAGGGGGGTGACATACTAGTTTGTAGATTAACTGAGGTACTAGGCAAAGTCTGGGAATCAGAGACAGTACCATCAGACTGGGGTAAGTCACTTATTATACCGATATTCAAGAAGGGAAACAAGTCCTCGTGTGATAATCATAGGGGGATCAGCCTAACGAACATAGTCTCTAAAATCCTAGGCTCAGTAATCATGCATAGACTAAGCAGAACTCGGGAGGAACAGACAAGGGAAAATCAAGCAGGCTTTAGACCAGGTAGAGGGTGCATAGATCATATCTTCACTCTTCGACAGATTCTAGAACATAGACACACTTTTCGGCGTCCAACAATTGTCATATTTCTTGACTTGAAGGCGGCCTTCGACTCCGTGGATCGAAAGGTACTATGGCAATGTCTGACTGTGAAGGGAGTGCCAAGAAAGTACATTGCACTAATCAAGGCACTCTATTCAAACTCACGTAGTCGTGTAAGGGCTTATGGGGAATTGTCATCTGAATTGGTAACAACCAGTGGTGTCCGACAGG